CTGGGGTCCAGGCACCAGATGCGGCAGGGCACGCTGGCATCTGGGCACTGCTACTGCTCCTCCACGGCCCCCAGGAAGGCCAGGGGGAGGGGGAGGGGGCTGACATGCACCAGATGGTGCCAGGCAGCCTCCAGCCATTGCTGGCAGGCTTGCAGCAGCAAGTCCAAAAACTGGACCAGCATGCCCAGGGCAAGCTCTGGCTCCATGGTGCCAACTGCAGCGGCATCCCCAATGGGAACCACTGACACAGGCAGGCGGAGAGGAAAATGCTTTGCTGTCCCTCGGCGAGGTAGGCAAGCAAGCGAAAAAGCTTAGAACTGGCTGTCCAGGGGGTTCCCTTTAAGCACGAGCCTCAGACAGCAGCCACACAAAGCAACTACTGACCTGATGCCCTACCGGAACTGGTTTCAGCTGCCCTTAAATGTGACCCAGCATCCAATCAGTATGGATGCGCTAGTTCGAATTAGCAAAATGCTAATTCAAATTAGTTTTTAAGTCTAGATGCACTAATTCAAATTAGCTTAGTTCAAATTAACTAATTCGAATTAAGTTAGTTCAAATTAGTGCTGTAGTGTAGACATAACCTGAGTCTGTAAATCAATGCTGTGACACTGATTTACACCAGCTGAAGATCTATGCCCATGTTTCCTTCTGGCTTCTGCAGAACTGGTGTGTGCTCAATAAATTGGTAAATAAACTGTACAGAAAGAGGCAATGTGTTCCTGTTAATGTCTATTCGGTGTTCACTGTTTTGGAGATTGCACTAGTACCTAGTGATGGGTAGTTGTCATGGTGATTACTTTTTTAATGAATAGCACATTAAATAGCTTCATACAACATATATATCGTTTGCCCATAAATTCTTAATGTCAATGGGTATGTCTGCATGACAGCATTATTTTGGAATTACAGATGTTATTCTGAAATAACTTTGTGAGCATCTACACAGCATTGAAATAATTTTGAAAAAAAGGGGCGATTTATGTTGGATTCTGTAAACCTTATTCTATGAGGAATAACGCCTATTCTGAAATAGCTATTTTGAAATAGTACATGTGTAGACAGGGTGGCTGGAGCTATTTCAAAATAATTGGCCTCCAGCCCATCTCAGAGGTACCCTGATTGCCCCTCTGTCCACACTCATCAAAACTCTGTAGTCCCCCTTCCCCTGCAGCCCTTAAAGCTGCAACCACAGAGGGAAAAGCTTGTGGCAGACAGCAGGCCCTGCTTTTTCCTCTGCCGCACTGCAGTAGCCTGCACAGCTGTCACTGCTGCCACGAGCCAGCCTCGTGCTCCGTCCAAGCCCTCCACAGCTCCAGCCGAACAGGCAGCAGGCTCCCAGGACGCTGCCAGGGTAGAAAGAGGTGTGCGCCTTCCTAGTCTGGTGCAGAGATCCTGGCCCTCGTTGAGGTCAGGGACTAGAAGGCAAACCTCCAGGATCTGTGCACCAGATACAGGAATACTGATGTGTATGACTGGATGGCTGAGAGCCTGAGCACCAAGGGCCACATCTGTACCAGGCCTATGCCAAAACCAGGGAGCACAGCTCCCACTCCAGGGCTGAACCCCACACCTGTTCCTACTGTTCAGACTTGCACTGCATCCTAGGGGGAAGGTCAGTCCCTTCCCCATCCGGTAGTGGACTCAGGGCTGGATATGCCCATTGTCACCCTCCCGGAGTACAAAGACATGGAGGAGGACGAGGAGAAGGAGCCAGGTGAGATCAGCACCATCATCATGCTCACCCTGGAGCTGGTACCACAAACCCTGGATGTTTCCCAGGCATCATCTGACATCATCATTACTTTCCCTGCACACACAGGATGGAGTTGGCAGATGGTGAGGAACTGAGGCATGCTCCTTTCTCGGCCTTCTTGGCCTGGGGATTGTGCAGCATCCTATGCATGTGGGTGCATGTGGAGCACCAGTCCAGGGCACACGGTCCACGAGGTTGCACCAGAGGACCCTTGTGCTATTGCTCACAGGGCCTGGAGAATCCTGCCATATTCTTGACACCAGGGTGGGTCACCCTACCACTATACCACCACTAAGTAGAAGGAGGCTAGGGACATGGAGACACACAGATACTCAGGAGTGCCACACAGAGCACAGGTGTCAAGTATCAGAGGGGTATCAAGTGTCAAGTATCACATGCATCTGACGAAGTGGGTCTTTGCCCACGAAAGCTTATGCTCCTACACTTCAGTTAGTCTATAAGGTGCCACAGGACTCCTCATCGCTTTTACAGAGCACAGGGGCATGCCCACACACTCGGGGCAGCACCCACTCCCGGGAACAGCGCACTGAGGTGCAGGAGTGTCTGCCACTCATACATACCTGCTCACCACCACTCTGGCCCCCTCTCCTCCAGCGGACAGGGATATAAGTTCTCTCCCGGTGGGACACCACCATGGTAGGACCTGGCATGTGAGCAGCATGTAGGGATGTCCAGCTACTCCATGGCCCCCATCCCACTCATAGTATTCTGGTCCGGCCAGCACCTCCCTATGCCTGCTTGTCCCCGGTACATGAGGGTAGTGAGGCTCCCCCCAAATATCTGGGCCCCTGTAGGAAAGGGCCTACAGTCTAAGCCACAGATGGCCTTCGCCTTCATCTAACCCAAGAAATATTGGTCTTGGCTCACAGAGGAGGGCAAGGCTTCAGGCACAGTGTCTCCGTGGATGACTGACCTTCTCTCTGTACTGCACAGCTGGACCAGCTGTGAGAGGGGGGTGGTTGACATCACTCGAGGCAGCCTCCCAACCCTGAGTCACCCACAAGCACAGGAGAATCCAGGAAGAATTCCAGTGGGAGCACATCTCCACATTGTGAGCCCTGCAGCACACCCTGGATTGGAGACTGGAGGAGGACATCCAGCTGTGGTGAGAGACCTGGCAGGAGATGCTGGATGAGGGCTGCACCATGTGCGTAGATGTAAAAAGCACTCATTGACAGCATGGTGCCTGCTCCTGCTCCTGTTGCTGCTTCTGCCCCTTTTGCTTCCCTCCTCAATACTCCCGTGGCAGCTGAGGTCCCCGCACCACTCCCAGCTTCAGCCCTCAGCCTTTCCTCCCCCCCTTCTTCCCCACTCCTCTGTCTCCTTCTCCTAGGTTCTTTCCCCAGACCTTCCTCAGTTATCTGGTCCAGAAGGAGCACAGCTGCACCCTGGACCAGATTAGAATGAAAATTAAAGAACTGTGCCAGGCCTACATCAAGACTATGGAACAAAGTTCCCACTCTGGAGCAGCACTCCAGACCTGCTGCTTTTACCTGCAGCTGGATGGTATGGAAAGGGGGTTGGTCCCTTCCCCCCAACCTTGTCATGGACTCCAGCCTGGACATGCCCATCCTTACCCTCCAGGAGGGTGGGGCTGTGGAACAGGATGACAAGGATGATGACAAGGAGAAGGAGGAGCAGCTCAGCCTGGACATGATGCCAACCAACCAGGTGTCGGTCATAACCTTGGAGCCGGTGCCCCCCTCCTAAAATGTCTCCCAGGGCTTGGACGAAACCGGGAAAGGCACTTCAGGTGAGTTGTCAATTTTTTCCTATCTACATTTGGGGGAAGGCAACGGGTTTCAAGGGGCTCCATGCTCCTCACTCAACTGTCTTGGTCTGGGGATCACACAAAAGCTTGGGCACATGCGGTCCTGTATAGGGCTTCATTAGCCAGGGGAATAAGGGGTAGATTGCATAACCCATGATGCAGATGGGCATGTCTAACCCTTCCCCCCTCCCAATCCTGATGGCACAATCAGAGAAAAAAGTGCTTGTATGCTTTTTCTGGCAGCTAAAAGACATGGGAGTTGTGCACCTTCCCTGACCACCTTATGTTAATATCGGTGAACACTCCCCAGTGGTGCATGAGGGTCTGTAGCACCATTGAAAAGTACCCCTTCCTATTGATGTAATGGGAGGCACAGTGGTCAGGGGCCCAGTCGGGGAAGCCCATAGTTGCAAAGCCAGAGATGATGGGATCCACATCACCCAGGATGATGACTTTGTGTAACAGGATGGCATTGATGGCTCTGACCACCTGTAAAATGGTAGAATCATAGAATCACAGGGCAGCCAGAGTCTTCAGGAATTCCCTGAGTCCAAGCCTTTTCTCACACCAGGACCAAACCCAAGTACCTCATACCCAGCCAGGCTTTGTGGAGGCAGGACTGAAAAACCCTCTAGGAAGGGAGATTCTACCACTCCAGTTCCCTAAGAAACCCATTCCAGTAGTTCACCACTCTCCTAGGCCAATAGTAAGAGAGTCAAACCTGCATGAGCATGGCCCCGATGGTTGATCTCCCCAAGCTGAACTGGTTCCCAACAGAGTCCGGAGCGGCGAGCTTCCAAAGTGCAATGGTGACATGCTTCTGGAAGGGGATGGTGGGTGTCCTGTTGATGGAGGGCAAGGGCAAGCCACTCACAGGGCTCCAGGAAGGAAGGAACTTCCACATGTGGAAGTTCTGGAACTACTGTTGCTTGTTCCACTGTTCGATGACAATCCAGTCCCACCAGTCAGTAGTGGTCTCCAGGTGCCAGAAACACTGGAGCACGGTGTGCAAGGGAGGATGGAAGGGACTGTGGGGCATAAGGAGCACCTGGGCCTGGGTGAGAAGGTCACCCATTGCAGGCTGGACACCATCCTCCTGCAGTGCCATGAGGGTAGCCAGTCATGAGGGCAGCCTACATAAACTATGTTTTGTAGTAGGTCCGGCTCCATGGTGGAAGTGCTGTTACATCCGTAAGAGTAACCAGAGCATGCAGTGAGAGTCTGCTATCCCTCAAGGAGGTAGGCAATGGAGAAGAGTCTGAGACACAGCTGTAGAGGGGAGCCCCTTTAAATATGAACCTCAGATAGCCTCAGGCAGCAGCTACAAGAAGTGACTGCTGTCCTGATGCCATTCCCGAGTGCTTCCGTGGGACGATAAATGCAATTCAGCCTCCAATCAGTCTGGACAATATAGATCTGCACTATTTTGATGGGGATTTGTAGAGTGGATGTGTTATTTCGAAATAATTATTTTGAAAGTTATAATTTCTAATCAACTTATTTCAAAATTCCTTAGTAGGAATTCCTTAGTGTCCCAGATCTATGATTTAGCTCTATTTGTATCCTCAGGTAAGGTTTAGATGCTGTAAAGGACAAGATAATCCATAGTCTTAGAAATAAGGAGGGGAGCAATTATTCCCTTAAAATATTATTGCCATTGCTCCTCTTAATAATAATACTTGGTGTTTTTCACCTGAAAAGTTACAAGTGCTTCTATGTGCACTTGATTTTATAACCTTTGTGAGGTGTGAAGGACTGATTCCTTCTAGATCCCTGACCACAGTTTCATGAATTATGGTATTGATGAAATGGCAACTTAATCCAATGTGTGTGCCCTATGCAAGCCCCCTAGGAATACATTTTTCCCACCACATACCTTTAGCTCACTCAGCCACACAATGTTTCTTTTCACTCTGCTCTTGCTCCTTTACACCAGAGGCATCCATTTTCACATCGCAGAGAAATCCCCTGCCTTTGAAATAAATGCACATTTTGAAAGCATTTGCCTGGAGGTCACACATAACATGGTATATATCCAAAAAGCTATTTCATACTGAACAAGGAACAGTTTGAGAGGAGCTAAGGTTAGAAAGGCTCTTGGAAGGATTTCTTAATTCATATTATATGGGTCTTTACTATGAAGTGGAAGGGTAGAATTATGGAAATAGAGATTTTCATGTGGTAGATGGTTTCCGTGATAGGACAGGAATTTCTTTAGGATTTCCTCATTCGTGTTTATCACATTGGGGTGAAATTCAGAAGGTTAAGTCATGATACCTACAAAAGAGGGCTTAATGAGTATGTATGTGGTATACAGGTTTTAAACTGGTCCTCTGCTTGAGTTAGTCCTAAATGTTAAATAATATGGAATAGTATTTCAAGTACAGTAGTAAGAGCCCCATCACTGGAAACATTTAAGAATAAAAAGAGAAAATACTTAATAAATTAGTATCGCAGGGTATTATATATTTTTAGCACGGAAATAGAAAAGGTTATCTGAACGGTTTTTTCCATCTCCAGTTTCTATGCTCATACTGAAATATTGTTTAGATAAATGAATTGCATCTGTTCTATAAGAACCATATGATAAAGATCCAGGCACATTTTCTGCAGTCTTTCAATGTCCAAAATTATGATACATAATTACTATCACAACAGTAGATGATGTAATCTGTGAAGTTTGAAGTTTTTTGGGGCCTGTGTGTTTTTAAAACAACTTTCCATGTATAAGATATAAATTAGCTAGCAAAAAAAAAATTGGAAAAGCAGTGAAGATAGAAAAAATAGAAACAGTAATTGCTTAATTCTCCTTTCTTGATTTACTTACTGTTTGAATGGCACATACAATTCATATGCAAACAGCGCAAAGCAAAACATCTTGTACATAAAATCTATGATGATGACAACATCTGTGTATCTGTCTCTCAAATGTAAACACATAAACATAGGCCTGCAATATGCACATAAGTAATTCTTCTGAACTAAATGTTGACTTCAAACATTTAAAGTGTTCTAATTATCAAATGTTAAGAACTTAACATTTTCCATGTGGATATCTATCTGGATACATTCATGATTTCCATTCGCATAGTATCTGAACACCTCCATATCTCTTCTACCACTCATCATCCAATATTCTAACAAGGCATAACTCCTTTCCCTTCAGTAGACATGCTAAAGTCTGTAGAGAAAGGACTCTGCTTTAGTGGTCACAAATAAGATGTGTAAGAACAGGGCTTTTTTTTTCTGTGGGGACCATGCATGCTAATCCAATTTAGAATTGGGATGTTAATATTCTTGTAAACAATTAAGAAGTCCTTCCAACATCCCCAAACACTCTAGCCTCAAATTCCATGGAATACATGGAAATAAACAGATAAGGGATCCAACCTGCTACTCATTGTCCCCTGGTATGATCAAACTATATACAAAGATCAAAATGGTAAATTAGTAGAAGATGATTTGAAATGTCTCTCATGAATTGGTGGGACCTTATAATAGTTTAATAATTTATTCTGAAATTCTATTATTGTAAACTGCTGCCATTTTAGAGGGAATCTTCGATTTGAGTTTTTAAAAGGTGGAGAACTTTATTAAAGAATGTCTGACCTTTTTTTTTAGGGTTATACTGGACTCGACTGAAAGTTTGCAGTTGTATATATAACTTGTGCCTGACGAACCATTTGGAAAGATTTCTATGACAAGTGTGTCTCTGGCTGAATTTTTTGATGTAAAATTTCAGCAAGAACAGTTCAGCCATTTCTCTGAATGATGTTAGGGAAAAATACATTGTTTTGCCCATGTTATCCATACAGCTATTTCACTGAGAAACTCTAGCACCGTGGTCACCAACTCGTTGATTGTGATCGACTGGCCAGTCGGGAAGCCCCAACCAGTTGATCGTGAGGCATTCGGGACCCCCCACACTCTTCCCCCCACCCCGAAGAAGCCCCACTACCTACCTCCAGCAACAAGGGAGGTAGTGCCAGCTTCCTGCAGGGTGGACAGAAGTCCAGCAGCTGCGCGCCACTTCTGGGGTTTGAGGAAGTGCTTGGGCTGCTCCCCCTCCCCGAAAACAGCCGGCGCCGTACCACAAAGCAGGTCTGTGGCGTGCCAGGGACTCTCTGTGCGGGAGGGAGGGAAGAGTCCCCAGAGAAGGCACACGCTGGGGCTTCCCTTCTCTATGCGGGGAGAGGGGTGTTAGAAGTCCCATGAAGAGGCGTGCACCCGGGCTTCCCTCCTTTATGGAGGGGAGGAATCTCCAGAGGAGGCATATGCTGGGGCTTCCCTCTACCACGCGGGCGGGGAGTTAGAAGTCCCGAGACGAGGTGCGCATCCGGACTTCCCTCCTCTGGGGGGGAGGAGTTCCCGAAGGAGGCATGTGCTGGGGACTCTCTGTCCCCTGCAGCAGAACCCACTGGCACCCTGTTCTCAGTGGCACCCCATCCCCTGCCACAGAACCCCTGCTGCAGAACCCACTGGCACTCTGTTCCCACTGGCACCCCGTCCCTTGCCGCAGAACCCACTGGCACCCTGTTCTCAGTGGCACCCCATCCCCTGCCACAGAACCCCTGCTGCAGAACCCACTGGCACTCTGTCCCCACTGGTACCCCGTTCCCTGCCGCAGAACCCACTGACACCCTGTCCCCTGCCCTGGCACCCATTAGCACCCTTCCCCAGTACCATGTCCCCTACTCCCAACACCACAGTTGGGGCCACATTAGTGAGGTGGCGTGGGGTTGGAGGAGTTATGTTTTTGCATCGCACTTGTGTGGCTCCAACTGACTTTTTTGTGGCTCAGTGACCCCTGACTCAAAACAGGTTCCCCGCCCTTCTCATAAATAAAGACAATGCTGAAACTTTTTGTGTTTGACATAATATTTTATTTAAAAATGAAGCCTGGCCAACAAACCCCCAAGTGGGGCCAAGCCCCCATCTAGCCGCAGCATCATAACACTCCTGTACCCCCCACCCCTGACCCTAGAGCTGAGCCTATCATACATTGGAACCCCCTGTCCTGAGTCCCTGACAATTTCAGTTTGTTCATACTTACTAGAGATATATTAGAGTTTGTCAGCTAGATTCTCTGGCGAATCCATCAGCACTGAGCACGATTTGGTCTGAGATTGTAGAGGGTTCTGACCAGGACTTTCCCTATAAGTAAGAGATCATCCTGGCAGCCAAGCCTGGTGGGTACAGGAGCAGAGTACAGGATTACTGTCTGTTCTGTGATGACAGTATTTTCCTTACTGGTGCCCAGACAACATGGAGAAGGAAGTAGAAAAAAATGTGACATGAACGGTGAGGGAAGCCTTCTTAAAAATCACATTGTCTGGTTCTTGGTTTTCCCATACTTGTTTTTCAGAGGAATTGCAGTCTAGTGGGCTGTACTTAGAGTGCTCTAAGATTTCTGTGTGTCCCTCAGCATAGATGGATTTTACTACTTCCTCCCATTTCAGCTTACTCGCAGGGATGCAAATCAAGCACATCAAAATTGCTAATGAAGCAGGGATTTAAATATCCCGCTTTTCATTAGCATAAACATGGCCACCACTTTTTTTCAAAATGAAACTTTTTCGAAAAAAATGGCAGTCTAGACGCAGATCTGTCAAAAATAACCCCTTTTTCGACAGATCCTGTAAACCTCATTTTTTGAGGAATACAGGATCTGTTGAAAAAGGGTTTATTTTTGATAGATCTGTGTCTTGACTGCCAGGTTTTTCTTCTAAAAAGCTCTTTCGAAAAAAAGTGGTGGCCATGTTTATGCTAATGAAAAGCGGGATATTTAAATCCCTGCTTCATTAGCAATTTTGATGTGCTTGATTTGCATCCCTGTCAACAGAGGGATGCAGTCTAGACGTAGCCTTTTATTCCTTGATTTCCACAAATCAGTTTTCCTGCATTCTAATAACTTGTACTGCTTCATTATTCAAGTAAAGCCTGGGTACGTTATTTTTAACTTGAAATACTTTGGTCCCCAATTTTCAGATTAAAAAAAAGGATCAGATTAAGCAGTGACCAAATCGACTGGGTTTGTTTTATGTAGACAGATTACATCCCAATGATGAATTCAAAGAGGGAGCCATTAATCTTGGATAGGTACTTCTTTATTTTATGACTCAAACAGTACTACTCACTGCTACAAACTCTCATTTTATTGAGAGTCTCAAGATATTTGATGTTTTTCTTTAAATGTCAGTTGATGGGATCAGGTTATTACCAGAGAAACTAAGCTTTCATTTTAGAAAAGTTTGTTTCCAGCCGCACGGTTGCAGAAAGAGCGTGAGAATGTGAGTTCTAAATGTTCCAACAACAGGAGGAAACTTTTATTACTTTTAAAAATCTCTTCATTTTAAAAGCCAAACTCATTATTTTGGGTGCCTCGTTCTTGATTATTGAATGCTTGCTTGGGTTAAAATCAGTGCACACTGTCAATGTAAATAGTATAGCATTACTAGGAAAAAATAAATGAATGAAGAATTTTGAAATAACTTGTATATAGTTTAGGATACTTCTCAGCTATGGCCTTTTTTGCAAGTCTAGATTTGGTAAAGTTTGGATAACGTACACATACATCAAGGATTAGGTTGCAACCAGAATTCTATTTTCAGTTTACAATACATACACTAACTTTACAGTACATACACTATTCCCAATAGGAGATTGATCTATCTAATGGTATGTCTACACTACAGAGTTAGTTCGAACTAACAGACGTTAGTTCGAACTAACATTAATAGGCGCTACACTAGCGCTCCGCTAGTTCAAATTTAATTCGAACTAGCGGAGCGCTTAGTTCGAACTAGGTAAACCTCATTTTACGAGGATTAAGCCTAGTTCGAACTAGCTAGTTCGAATTAAGGGCTGTTTAGACCCTGAATTTGAACTAGTGGGAGGCTAAGGCTTCCCAGGTTTCCCTGGTGGCCACTCTGGCCAACACCAGGGAAACTCTATGCCCCCCTCCCGGCCCCAGACCCCTTAAAGGGGCACGGGCTGGCTATGGTGCCCGTGCCAGGTGCAAGCCTGCCAGCACCCAGCTAGCAGACT